AAAAATTAGTTTGAATTGAATGACCCCCCCCCCCCATATGATTGTCAGTGCATACACCATTCTACTTTCTGGCCAACAATTATTTATTATTCCATAGCTATTGGGCATGTTTAGAACATAATTGCTTTATACCCTTAGGGATTCCCTTTTCTTTCTATTTTTGCAGATCCTGAGGTTCCTCCAAGCCTGGTGATATTTCTCTCTTATAGATGGTGATATTCTTTTAGCTATGTAAATGTCACTCAAAGCATGTTAGTTGCACATATTGAACCAAAATGTTATCTAATCTTATTCCAGTTTGTTTTCCATTTGCTTTTATGTAGTTCCTGCTAATTAAATCCTGTGGATCAGAAAAGAGGGTTATGGGTAGAAGTTGGGCATGTCATAAATCTCCTCCTCCTCCTGCTAATGCTCTGCTCATATATTTGAGATTAGTCCCTGCTATGAAGATCTTTGGCCAGCAGGGTCTGATCTGGCACTTCAGACTACATATTACATTCTGTATCTCCTTCCACAGCTGTAATACTTGTTTATCTTAAAGATTTTCAGAGGGTAACTAATAGAAGAGGAAATACATAGAAATGTTTGTTTTTAGTGTATTGTATTCACTAAAACCAGATTCCTACTGAAGCACACATTTACCGAAACACAACATGCAATTGCTTACATATCTTTCTTGGCAGACAACATCAACAGCTTACATCACAAGTAGCTCACAACTGAAAATGTTTGCTTGAAGTTTTATCCATGGGACAAGAAAGTGCTAGATATTATGGAAATAATGATTGTATTCCCAAATTGTACTATATGCTTTGTTTGGTTTAGATGTTGTATGAATCCAGCATTGCAATTTGGAAGGTATGACTTATATATGAATCCAGCATTGCAGTTTGGAAGACATGACTTATAACTTAATGCAGTAGGTAAAACCAGAATATCAATACCACAATGGAGGAGAGGCCCACAGACTAATTAACTAGCAGATCATTTCCATTTTCTCTCTCCCCTTCCCCCCCATTCCCAGTGAATGGTAAACCCAATCTGAAGTGGATTTGACCATGAGAGGGGAGGATACTTTAACTCTTCCTCTGATATGCCTGCAGCTAACATTGCCAAGGAAAACAGATAAACTTGGCTGCAAGTGGATTCAGTGTAGTTTATGGAAATCAGTTGTATACAAACTGTGTGTTACGTCCAGAACAAATGCCTCTGGGGTGATCAAAGGGCAAAATCTTTGTGTGGCCTGGAAATAGTTTTAGTTTTAGTTTAGAAGTGTAATCTTCCTACAGGAGTTGAGCAATTGCAAAGACTTGTCTAAATGCCATGTGACAAAACCTGGAAGTGAGAATAGCCACCCACTTATTAGGAGCAGACAAACCAGATGGGCTTAAAAATAGGAAGAACCTGAAACCTAGCTCTAAGCCTTACTCAAAACCAGCAAAAGTGTCAGAGTGATGTAAGGAATGTAAACAGAGTAACTTCTCTTTCCAGTTTCCTGTTATCCTAACACATCTTCTTTACAGCTGTAGTCTTCAGCTCTTTTACTGTTCTTTCTTCCCTTTTTAGGTGCCTGATTTGATTCCACTGAAAAGATATCTTCTAATTAGTTGATGTAAGGAAAATGGATAAGAAAATCTGCTTCTCTGTGTTGAGTCTTACTGAATAGATTGGGCCATAGATTTAAAGCTGCAACCTTATGTGGCATTGAATTCTGCAGTAGTTACTTTGAAGCAGGAATGGGGTGCATGTGGCTGTTCTGAGACTGTTGAATGAGAATCATGCAATCATATCCATTATTTGCTTGTTAGATTTATATCCCACCTGTCTTCTGGAAGCTTAAGTTAGCCTGTTTTTTTCCTACAACATCCACCCTTGGCTGGGCTGTGAGAATGACTGGTTCAGAATCAAGCCATGATTGAATTTCCATGACTAAAGCTGGACTCAGTCCTGGGTCTTCCCAAGTCCAGAGATGGTTGTCTAACCTCTGCTTGAATACTTGCAATGAACACCATTGGGTAATTGTTTCTGCTGCTGAACTCCTGTTAGGAAATTTTGTCTAACATTCAGTCAGAATTTGCCTTCCTATAACTTAAGCTACAGTTCTGAGAAGCCTGAAGCAAGATGATTGTGGGTGAGGAACAGAAGTGGAATTCTACAATATAGGGAGACCAACATTGAGAGGCTATTGCAGTTCCTACCTATATCTTGATGCAGATTGCAAATGCCAAGGTAATCTGTTCTCATGATTACCAGGATCTTATTTTTGCCCTGAGCTCCTATTCTAGCCCTTTGAGCAGAGCTGGGTGGCTGAATCTGCCCCTGACTTTAATTTTCTTCAGTGCCCCGATCTACACCACATAAAGACCTTATGTTATGGTAAAAATAAGTTCCTTTATTTTATTCAATAACCAACATAAAATAATAAGACAAAAACAGTAAAGTAATGGGGCAAGCAATGAAATAACCAATACAAAGGGGAGAATACAAGATCCATTAAAAAGATGGCTCCATTCCATTGCCTACTGCTTCTTGAAATGTTGCAAACACAGATAAACAGATCCCACTGATAGAGGTGAGAGCTGTACATTCTATATCTGACTTTTCTACTTTTCATTCCAGATACATTGGACTTTAGTCTCCAACTAAGGCAAGAATCTGGCAGATACAGGCTTCAGGCCCTTGTTCAGACATGATTTGAAGTTCATGAGAGAGCATTGCCTCCTTACTGATGGGACTGTGCTGTGTCACCCTAGTGACACACATCATACGGTAATGGAAAGAATATGATTTTTTTAAAAAATTGGTGTAAACAACAATAATAAAAATGTTTCCATTGAGGCGTTCATCTTGTTTTGGGAGCATTTCATTGCAGAGTTGGGTTATCGCATCAGAAGGTTTCAGAAGTTAACAAATGAAGATAAATGTGAAATTCATGAACTTTCCATAAGGAAGATTCCCTTTGAGACTCCTCACATGATAACGATGAGTGGAAAATTAGGACATTTCCTCTCTGTGCTTGGCACCCCTTGGTGAATGGAAACTCTCACAATGTCTCATATGTTTGCCTTATCTTTTCTTTTTTATTATTATTATTATAAGCCTTTATTGCTTTATTTCAATTAACCATAATATTGAAAGTACTGTGAAAGGAAACTCTTGCCATCTTTTTATAGACTCGAGGGAAGAAAAAGCAAATACATATTCAAGAATAGAGTTCGCTAAAAATAAGAGTATAAATATATTCCTGATATAAGTCTGCCTGAACTGTGTGAACTGGGTGGATTATAAAGAATGATCTAAATACTCATCTCTCCATTTGAGTATTTTTAAATTAAAATGATACGGCAACAGCACAGCTTGTAATAAGTAACTGCAGCTTTTTTGGATTGTGAGTGTCCTCATGTTCTTCCATTGGAACGGGTTGTTGCACTTAAGCATTGTTTTAAAGTAGAAACGGGTGGGGGGGGAGTGGGGGTAGAAAAGATTACATTTTAACAAAACAAGGCACTTGCCTTTATGAGCAGCACAAGGATGAGCTGCAATCCTTTTACTCCGGGATCTCACCCCCAGGGGTATAAAGAATGGCCAAATTAAACAAAATTACATTCTATGGATATCTAAGGGCATACTCATACATCCCACTAACTGCCTTAAAGATGCTTCACTCACATTCTTTAAGGACACATCTGTACGATCCAGATTTCCTCTTATCTGCAGCCCATGGCTCAAGTTAACTCTGAATTTTTCCCATCCAATGTGGAAGAAGTGTTTCTTATTTTCTGACACAAGTCTTGCTATGCGTGTGATTTGTGTTCTTTGGAGGTGACTGAGACAGTGGTTGGAATCTGCCCAGATACTATTGGTTACTTTCAGCTGTTGTGAACATAACCCTCCTCCTCTGATGACTGCTGACTTCCTTTCTTGCCCATTTTGGTTTGGGCTACTGGACTGACCTAACACCAGGAGAAGCACCACCACTATCTCTTGAGAAAGTGAAAGAACAGGACTTCTTTAAAGCCACCTACCTGTCAGAGAGGACCTGATCTACCACATTCTCTAGAGAGCTTGATGCTGCTTTAGAGATTGGAGAAATTCTGGTTTACCTGCTGTGTTAAAATAGCCCCGAGATTGCTAGCGAAAATGGGAAATCAGAACCTTTTAAACTAGTGTTTCTCAAACTTGGTAACTTTAAGATGTGTGGACTTCACCTCCCAGAATTCCCCAGTAGCCTATGTTTTATGGAGTATTTGGTGGATGTTTGTCCCACCAGCAAGAAAATCCATCAGTCACCACCGTAAGTTACCCTTCTGTAAAATGTTAGGACAGTGCCATTCACTAGTCTTATTCCCAAGGCAGAATAGAGTCCAGCTATCTGGACTGCGAATTATGCCAGTGTATTTTTGTGCTCCCTCACAAAATGGAGGAAAGCATAGCAAACTGGCTCTCTGGATGTGCCCTAAGAGTAAATTCCATTGAACTTTGTATGGCTTACTACCTGTGTATGATTGCCTTTTGAGATGTTAAACCTGTAGGTTTTTATTGGGAGTCCATCCCACTGAATTCAGTGTTGTTTATTTCTAAATAGGCATGCATGATGTTCTTCTATTAATAGTGAAGCATGTCTAAGATTTCTAACTTTTGAGTTTCTCAGAATGTTTCATCATCTAAAAGCTTGCATGTTCTTTTGTATCATTTTGATCAGTTTGTAGAGATACATGTTTTATTTAAATTATTTAAGGGTTTATCTTTTTTAATGCCTGCTTTGATATTTTCCCTCCACAGAAAGGATAGCACATAGCTACATATTAGCAGTGTGTGTGTTTAAAAATAACCTAAATCACATGCACTCTAGACTTACCTCAGATCACCCTCTACTGGTTGCACTTGCAAAAATGCATATGTATTGAAACACTATCATACACATATAATCTGTTCCTTAAATTGATTTAAACTGGTTCAATAGTCATTTCATTCCTTTTTCACAGGAAATTGTGGGCATTTTTACCCTATGTGTTAAGCACATCAACAAACCTATAGTTCTCAGGATTTTTTATTGGAATTGGTGATTGTAATACAAGAGTATGTATAAAATGGGTGAAGGCTTTATGTAAAGATCAACACATACTTGGCCCAGATAAGCAGATAAGGTGCTGCTTAGGCATATTAAGCCATTAGTCTTACCTAGATCAACGTTGCCTCTGTTTGCTACATGAACATGGAGCTCATGTAGGTTCAGTGCAGTTGAAGAGCTCTGGCTTAGGGAAGGCTGCTCTGTACTAACTGGGAGAAGATCTCCAGTATTTCAGATTGGGGCCAATCCCAGTTATCCTGGGAGAAGCCATGTGTTGAATTTATATTACTTGTATGAGCTCAATGACAGCATCAACTCATTGGCACAACTATAGCTGCCTCCAAAGATGTTTCCATGACCTGCAACATGTAATAAAGCAGATGAATGGGTTATCAGTAGAAACAATGAGTGTCAATGGCCAATTATCTCTAAGCCCTTGATAATGCTTTTATTGACTTAGTTCAGATGATAGAACTAAGCCTCAGGATCCTGTGTGGCTTTAACCAATATCCTCTTGTTTTTTCAGCCTCCATCATCTGGGAGAGAAGGTAACCTATAACTGCTACAAAACTAGCCTTGTTCCTTTTTTCTAGTCAACCAGAAAAATAGATTTTACCTGCTGCATTTCTGGACCCACCTAAGGACAGCTCAAAGCATTTTGTTACCTGGAATGAAATACATGAATATGATTTCCCCAATTCCACTGGGCTAGAATCCAGTGTCCTTCTACACTGGTGACAGGACAAGATTTTTCCTCTTGAAGAGCTTCTGGCTAGCTTGTGCTGTGGGTCAGGCTATGGAACAAACACCTCTGTCCTCTGATGAGTGGATCAGCTAGGTGGCTTCCAAGACTGGCCTCTCCATGCTACCCATTACTTACTACCCAATAAGTAGAGTCAGCACTTAGAGTAGCCCCCACCCAATCCTTTCTCCATCAGAGGATATCATTTAATTTGAGGGATAATCATTGGTTCTGGTGAGTGACCCTGCCACACATCTAGATGAGCGATCAAGCAGGAGAGAGACTTTATTAAACTCCTGTTGAAATGGAATATAAGCACTCTAGGTTGTTGTGGATTTGTTGTAAAGATTAGCTTCTGTCTTTTTCCACTAGTGGAAGGAACATTGACGTCAAAAATAGCCTGAATTACTGATGGATACTGCCTTTGAGATCCAGGCTGGAGATTATAAAATTCTTCTGTTGATTGGGTAAGACCTGAAAATGATCTGATTCTAGCCCTTAAATATTAGCTGTTCCTGTTTTCTTGACTCCCTTGTGTTGGCCTCTGTTCCCGATAATTCCAGGAATTAACTTGGGAAGGAAAAGCTAGAAGTAGAGAGAGTGGGATTTAATGTGGAAGTTGACACTGCAAGTGATGCTTTTCTTGAGGCAATGAAGTCTAGGCCTCGTTCTTTGTTTCAAAGATTTTATTGCTACAGAAGCAGTTTTTTCCCCCCAGGGAACTGTTGTTTGCTTATATGAAAATATAAAAAGAGTTGGAAGGTACCCAGAAGGTCATCAAGTCTAACCCCCTGCACACTGTAGTATTCACTACACCATCCCTGATAGAAAACCTCCAGTGAAGGGGAGGAAACCACTCTCTGTGGTAATCTATTCCACTGGTTGACATCTCTTACTTTGGAGCTCTTCCTAGTAACAAATCTGTATCTACATCCTTGAAGTTTCATCCCATTAGTTCTAGTCTTACCCTCTGGAGCAAGTGAGAATAAGTCCGAACCCTCACCCAATGTGACAGCATATTTGAAGATAGCTATCATGTCCCCTCTCAGCCTTCTCTTCTGTGCTACTGTGATGTAAAGAGTAAAAAAGTGATGCTTCTGTATTACAGCCTTTTAATACAGCTGAAATATTTGCTTTTCCACACTTAGCTACAAGCTGAAATGAAACAGAGGCAAAACACAATATATCAGTGTATATTCACCAGTGTTTCTCCCCCATGGCTGAGATCCTTCTGTAGAAACACTTCTCTCAAATTCTCTTCAACAAAACATTTTGTTTTGTTATCCCCTAATGCTAATTAAAAACCTTCTGTTGCAGTTGCAAACCATTGATCAAGGCTGAGATGTTCGTATTGAATAGCTGGTCACTGAGGTGGCCTTTGAAGGACCTCTATCAGTTCTCTTCTCATAGATGGAGGAGAAAAGACTTTGATTTCTGATATTCTTTATGCTAAGAAAATTTTGTTTTGGGCAAACAAATCTCACAGTAAATAAACAGTTTTGGTTAAAGAGAATTTCTAGCTTTAATCGAGGAGAGTTTTGGGAGAAGTTAAATGATGCTAGGTCTTTTCTATACAAATGTATTCAGTAAATAGTAATTCTGATCAAATTTAGCTGAGCTGTGAGCCAAAACAATTAAATGGGTGTGTGTCCTTTATTCTTATTCAGAGACCAAGAGAAAACGATACACGAAAAAAGAAGACTTCATTGCTTGTTGATATCAAAGCTGTTCTTGTGTTATTTGTACAGTATATGAAACTTTTTGACTCCTATTCATGTTTTGATTTCTCTCATTGTCATTTATGCAAACATTTGTATTGGTTTATAGAGCTCCAAAAATAACGTTTAGATAACTCAAAAAAATAGATAGTGTGCCTGTATGTTCATATGAAGAAGTTAAGATTGTACCCTTGTTTGTTCTAGTGGAAGTGTTAAAATAATGAGGATTTATGCAACAGTTGATTGTTTGGTTTATTTCCTCACTCTCCCTTGATTCTGCCATTTTGTGACATTTGGCTTGGTTTGTTTTAATATTTTGCAGACAAAAACTTTAATAAAATAAGGGTGCATATGAGAACAGCTTGTTTCCTAAGCATGCTGGGTACTGTTCCGGATTGTTATGTAATGGCTAGCCTTGTTCCCTCTCCTCTGCCTTCAAAAGGGGAATTGAAACAAGGTCCATGAAAGCATTTTGTATTTTAAAGGACAGGACATTCTCTTCTGATTTACACCTTTTGTCAATAGAGGAAACAAACTAGCTCAGTGGGAACAAGTATATTTTTAACCACTGAGTTTTCTTAACAAACATTCAGAGTAGTGTAAATATCATCTGGGAAGGCTATGAGAAAGGCCTTCTCTTGTTGAAGGCTGAATTAGAGTATGCAAGGAAGACCACAGTGATTCAGGTTAAACCAGTTTTGTAGCTGAGAATCTGCTGTGGGCTGGGCTTCCAACAGTGGAGGGAATTGCTTGCATTTTACCAGATTGCCCAATTCCCCCACCAAGCAATTCCAGATACAAGGAAAGCTAGGGAACATAATCAGGTGGTATACCAGGAAAGGAGAGTTAGCTTGTGTAGTTGAAATTGGGTTGATAAGAAATAACTTGTATTGTGGTTTCCTTGTGACCAGTTCAATTTGTATCTATCATGCCACTGAAAAGGTTAGCAAAAATATGCTGAGGCCTAATGCAAGTGTCTTTTTATGATGGAAGAGGGGATACCTGGTTAGTTGACATTCCACACTGCAGCACTTCAAGTCTCACTTGTCCTACTTAATAGCTGATTTCTTACGCATTTCTCTCATTTCTCTATCTCTATCTCTGTCTCCTATTGTAGTGATCTCTTGGGTCTGCCTTAATCTATGGTCAGTGGACTGGATAACCTAAACTTTAGGGAATCTCCACATGGATGGCACACAGTAGTACTACCAGTCAGAAGCCTTACATGCTTGAACACTGCTGATCCATGTAAACTTTCATTAGATTTTACCAGCAGTAGATTGTAAGATCGGAAGTTAATTAATCGTTGGTTGATTTGGCTGAAAAAAAGCTTCATCAAGAACCATTCATATTCACATCTTTGTAACTGGAATAAGTTCCTTTTGAGAAGCCTTTCTCTTATGTTCTGTGCCAGAATCTGTGAAAGAACTTCCTTCTGTCTTTTGAAAAAATAGCATCTCGAGCTTGTTTCTTAGGATGTGAGGGTTGCATCATTTTTTTCCTGGAGTACAGCATCATATCAATGGAGGTTCTCTTCTACATAGCACTTCCACGTGGTTACTCTAGGCCAGTTTTTCTCAACCTTGGCAACTTGAAGATGTGTGGACTTCAACTGGCTGAGGAATTCTGGGAGTTGAAGTCCACACATCTTCAAGCTGCAAAGGTTGAGAAACACTGCTCTAGATAATAGAGGAAGATGATTGTTTCCAAAACAGTATTGCTGAGTAGCAGAAAGTACTCTGTCCACAGATGTTGAAGTAGTTTGTGGACTTCCTATGCCATTGTGGGAGCCCGCAGATTCAGAAGACTTCTAGACCAATTAGAATTTGGTGTTTTCATTGAGTCCTTGCTATGTTGGAGGACTTGGAATATATAAGGGGGAACTCGGGTATGTGTAGTGCTGCTCTGCATGCCTAAATATCCAAGGCAGATCTTGATTTTTGTTTTATTTGAAATTATTTGTACTCCAACTGACTTATGATACTGGCTGGGATTGACTCCAGAAGCATTGCATCTTCTCCTTACACTTTTTAGGCTGTCTTTTGCTTTTGTTCCTCTATTTGCATTTGCCACAAACACTTTGTTCCACCCTTTCTTGTTCAGCAACCTGGCCTGCCCTCCCTCCCCCACCGTCCCCAAAAAAGCAATAGAACAATTTTGGCATCTGCAAATGTCAAGCCAGGCAGCATCAGTGATGTAATAGTGAGCTGGAAAGGGCCAACATTTGAACAGAATGGAACTGAAAAGAGCAGAAATTTCCTTGAATCCTGCAGATTGAACAGCCCTATATCTATCTAATTTCCTTAAATATTAGCAAGTAATATTTTTCAGGGCAGTTAAGTTCTGGATAATTAGGTGTTACATGATGAGTGTCAGTCATCTTTTGAGACTCATGAATTACAGAAGTGATATATCATCTGTTAGCCTCTCTCCTCACTGGTCTTGTTTGAAGTTTCTAATAGACTCTTATCTTGCAACTGAGAAGGGCAAAATGAGTGGGTTTTATCCACCATTTCCAGCGTTTCATGGTAACTGGTGTCCAAGATTAAATTATGTTAATATAATATGCCACAGAAAGAACACAGGATATCTAGGAATTTGTAAAACCTACCATTCTGGGAATGGAACATCCTAAAGACCTCCAATATACTCTGTTCCTGCTTTGGACAATGCTAATCTGAGGATCTGAGGATGGTTTAGCAGTTTCCTGAATTGGAAGTAGTTCCTGGTGTTATCACTTCTACTTTAGAGGATTAACCTCTGTAAAATCACCAGACCACCCCTGGAGCAGATCCATTGGAGGGCTGACATGTTTGGAAGTTCTGTTCAACATTCCATTCCAGAAATGTTATATTTTGTACATACCTAGTGACACCTCTGTTATGGGTATTAGTGTTTATATATTACTAGCAAAATACACTTAATTGAGGTAGTGTATCGGATGAGAGATCATGTGTTTCAAGCATTCTTGGCAGGAGTGGCATGCTCATTTGAGTCACTGAATTACCCATTAAATCTTACTAATGAAGGACTATTAAGTGTCAAGGGTGGAAGGAGAAGGCAGAGACTGCCTTTATTTCATCTATGCCCCCAGATGACATACTTTGTCATTTATCTATGTAGGAATACATTTCAAAACTGTCTTTGCCAAAGCATTTGAGATAGTTTACTGCAGGAGTGAGTAATCTCCAGCCGTGGTTGGTATATCCAGAACACTCCTGGAAAGAATTCAGCTACATTTTCCAGTTTGTATTTTGATTTGGTGCCAGTTTGGTGTAGTAGTTAAGGCACTGGGCTAGAAACTGGGAGACTGTGAGTTCTAGTCTCAGGCACAAAGCCAACTGGTGACAAGAGGAGAACACAAGGGCCTTCAAGCTGCTGAGAGATTGAAGAATATTAACAGGATCACATTCCCAACATAAATAATCTATCAGAGAGATCAATCCTGGTTCTAAACCCAGAGAGAGAAGGATCCAGGCAATCTGTTTCATCTAAGAGTGGTTGATCTTGCAAAATCAGATAGATCAGACAATATGCCCCAGAGATCCCAAGAAGCAACTCTAAGCATGCAAAGACTCTCAAGACTTTCTGCACCAAGACTTTCTGCTAAATTTTACAGATGAAAGTCTGACATCTGGGATAAATGTAAAATGCTACAAGAGGCAGATCCACATTATGTATTTTAAATATAGGGTTTTCATATATCATGATTGAATAAGCAAGCAAACAACTAAATGGAAGTGAAGTCC